TAACTAGGGCACGAAACCCCGCCTCCCAGCCGCCTATCTGTTTGATGAGGATTACATTTTCATGAAGTGTGTGCGATAGAAAACTCTGAACTATATCGGCAGTCTAGTGTTGTACTCATCCAGTACAGAATTTGCAATGCTCAGATGACTGCATAATTTATACTAACATTTACAAACACAGTTTGAGATCAGAAAGGTAATCTAAAAAAGTAAACATGAAATCACACGACCTTTGTCAGAAACATCACAAAACTAATTTTGGTAATCCAGAGAAAGAGGTGAGTTGTACAGAATCAACTAATTAAGAGCTGAAACTTTGTGCAAAAAAATATGAAGAGGCTAGCACAAACGGAAAGGTTTGGCAACAAAAATGCAAATAAATAACTTTAGAAGCTATAAACCATGAAAGTTCAAAGGAAACAATGATAATTTGATTAGAAAGGAAGTTAAAATGGCAAAAATATAGGAGACTTACAACCAAAAATAGAACCTAATCGATCCAGATTTCATTATGACAAGATTCTATAATGCGACCTGCTTCACGAAGCCCGCTAATATAAGCCCCGGTCATTGTTTGTGGGAAGAAACGATTTGTACCCTAAATATACTGTGAAAACCAAGCAAAAAGGAGAGATACTGCTCACCTCTCCAGCAAAAAACAGCCGTGCATCTACTGGAGCAGCTAAAGCGTCATAATGTGCTCCTGTACCTCCGATACGCACATAGGTATAAGACATTCCAATATGAGGATCGCGTCCCCAATGGGATACTACCACTCCGTCAGGTTTAGGTATATCCTTAAAAATGGGGAAATAAGCAAGTAAAAATTCAAAAATTTTGTCAAATAATCAAAATCAAAAGTGCAAACTAATCAACCTCATTAGGAAACAGCTTTTTCAAGGTATCGACAAACATTTGTCCGACTTCCTCGTCAGTGTGCTCATTTACCAGATTCACAGAATCACCACATACATATGACATCAGAACATAGTATGGAGCTACGCCATTAGCATCCTAAATGTTATTTTTTTTAAATTTCATTGCGCCATCTCATTACTAACCCGCTTTGAAAAATCGTAAAACATGTTGAATAGCCCTCGCTCGCTGCTTTTGCGCGGTGCATTACTGAAATAGTCCAAAGTCCCATCCTTCTTCAATAGCGCGTTCCAGAAACAACGTGGGAAACGCACAGCAACCTAAAAGAAAAATTTCTCCTCATAATCTCATCTTCACGGGAGAGTAAACTGAAGTCAAAAAACGCGCGAGTGCTTGACTTACCTTTTCAATAAGTCCTGCTCCGATATACCTCATCGCTTTCAGCTTTTTATCAGGCAGTTTTGGATTAAACCTGATTCCATGCTTTTGCAGCACCGCCAAAGGGACCGTTATCAGCACCTATGAGAAAAGCTGGCTATTTAAAGGCAGTGGAGAGGCAAAAGGACCCCTTCCACATTTTGGGAGTTAGGTAGTGAACCATCCAAGTACACCGTAGCCCAAACCTCACCTGCCATTTTATGCGCTAAGTCCTGATAAATGCGCTTCAAAACTCCACCAGCCCCGCCCATTTCCATGAGTGGGCGTCATTGATGGAGTTCTGAAGCGCAGTTTTCAGGACTTAGCGCATGAATTGGCAGGTGAATTTTAGGCTACGGTGTACTTGGAGGGTCTACTACCTAAAAGCAAATGGTATGATGTGTGTCCTATAAAATGCTGACGTGTAGAAACGTAAGCGACCTTTACCGATGTTCAAAGATCACTGCATGCAATTTTGATAACACAGCCTACCTTATCAGCAGAGAATTTTTTGCCATTTGTGCATGTCACTGTGACTGATTTTCTAGTTCGCGGCCAATCGATGGTACGCACCTATAAAACGCAATTTGCGGGAAAAAGAAAATGCTTAATCAAGTAAAACTACATAACGAAGTCTTTGATAGCAAAACTTGGTAACATGCACCTCATGCTCAAATCGAATATCTGTGCCTTCTGCAAGTTTTTCTATCAAGTCAACGCATCCATCTGGAAGAAG